GGCTTTTTTCTTTTTGCTTATGTGGTGCTGAGGAATCGAACCCAGGGCCTCATGCATGCAAAGCAAGCACTCTACCACTGAGCCACCTTCCCAGCCCGACTGTTAACCCTTTCACGTCGCAGATCAGACACTGCTACTTTGACACACATTCTGGCCAGAACCAGGATTAGAACCCTGGGCTCATACCACGGAACCCTGTTCAATCCAGCGATATGGGGGGGAGGGGACCCTCAGCATGCAGGATCCTCCCCCCCCCCAGTACTAGGGAAACTGAGCTCTAAAGCCACCGGGCCACCGGAAGTCTAGCCCTGTCCGTGTGGCTCCTCGCTGAGTGACTTTGCTCCCCTCCACTCAGACACGCGGCGAGGCTCGGCCTCCTGGCCTCCTGGCCTCCAGCCCGCCGCTTTGCAGCCAGGTGTCTGAGCCCCGGGCCTCCGTGCCGAACCCTCCAAGGTGTACTTTCGCCACGGTCGTCTTTTTTTTTAACCATCTGGGGTGAGAAGACCAGATCTGGGGCTCTGGAGCGGATGGTATAGGATGGGCGCGTGAGGGGTGGGGCTCCCCCAGGGCGTGGGGCGCACGGGGACGGGGGTGGGGGGCTGTGGAGGGCCAGTCAAGCTGGGATTTGGCGTCTGGGATTTGATTTTCAATCCAGTCTTTAGCCCTCCTGTGGAGCACGCTTGTTTAAACCCAGCACTGAGCTGGGGGGGGGGGACGACGACAAGGGGCTCAGGCCAGGAAAAAGGGGACACACAAGGGGGATGGTTAGACCCTGGGGGCATCCAGCTGAGCCCCAACACTTTCATGGGCCTCCTCTACTCCTGTACAACCCCCCCTCCCCTAACCCTCCTCCCCTAGCCCCCCTCCCCTTCCTTCCCCTCCTCTCCCTTTCCTTCTTTTCACCCCTCTCCCCTTCTCTCTTCCCCTGTCCTCCACTCTTTTCCTCTCTTCCCCTCCCCCTTCCCCCCTCTTCTCCCCCCTTTACTCTCCCCTTCCCTTTCCTTTTCTTTTCCCTCCCTCCTTCCCTCCCTCTCTTTCTTCTTCCTTTCTTCTTGTCAGTTGTGGGGCTTGAACTCTAGGCCTGGGCGCTGTCCCTCAGCTCTTCAGATCAAGGCGAGCACTCTACCACCTGAGCCTCAGCGTCACTTCTGGGTTTCTAGTGGTTTATTGGAGATAAGAGTTTCACGGGCTTTTCTGCCCAGGCTGGCTCTGAACAGTGATCTTCAGATCTCAGCCTCCTGAGTAGCTAGGATTCCAAGTGTAAGCCACCAGCGCCCAGCTTTTTTTCCCTCCTTCCCTGTCTTCCTTCCTTCCCTCCCTCCCTCCTTCCCTCTCTCCCTCCCTTCCTTTCTTCCTTCCTTCCTTGTCCTGGGGCTTGAACTCAGGGTCTGGGCACTGTCCCTGGGCCTCTCTGTGCTCAAGGCTAGACCTCTACCACTAGAGCCACAGCACCATTTCTGTTCATGTGGTGCTGAGGAATGGAACCCAGGCTTCATGCATGCTAGGCAAGCGCTCTGCCACTGAGCCACCTCCCCAGCCCTCCCCTCTCCTTTTACTTCCCCTTCCCTTCCCTCTCCTCTTCCCTCTTCCCTTCCTCTCTTCCCTCCCCCCCCCCGCATCTTTAGAGTTCCTGTCCACCTAACAAAGCCCACAATTTCCCATTCCCCAAAGGGGTCCTGGGTGTGTCCACAGCCCCAGCTAGCGGCTGACCTTGAAGAACTTGTCGATTTTGCTAAGGTTGATTCTCTTCTTGGCATCCAGCTTGTAAATGTTGCTGACGTTCCCATCCATCAGATACAGGCCGAAGCCCATCACCTAGGGCGAGGAGGGCGGAGAGCAGACGCCATCATGGCCAGGGGAACGGCTCTGGACAGCAGCCCCATGATGTGTGGGCATCTGACCCCCGAGACCACACATTCTGTGCCTCCTCGAGTAAGGACAGGAAATACCAAGCTCATCTGAACCGCAAGTTTAGCAGATGACTGTGGTGGCTGTCGTGGCTACTTCCTGAGCCCCAAATGGGCCAGCGACTTTAAAACAAGTATCGCTGTCCGCCGCTTCAGTGTCTATTCTCAGCACCATACTCTTGTGAGTCAGATTCAAGGCAAGAGTCTCATTCTACAGATGAGAAAGCCTAGACACAGAGGAGTTACACAGCTTGGCCCAGTCACACAGCTGAGTCCCAGAGATAGACGGTCGCTCGCCAAACAGACCTAACCCAGGATCTGTGTGCTAACGGTGCCCATCTAGGTCCTTGAGACGTAGGCCCAAAGATGTCTGAAAAGTGTGTGTGTGTGGGGGGGGGAGATTCTTAATATTTCAGCCCCTATAATTATCCACTGAAAGCTAGCCCGCTTTGTTCTCTTAAATGGAGAGCTCAAGTGTGGAGGGTGTGGCTCGCTGTGGGAATGTCAAGTCTCCACGTGCCTCCGTATCAGGGGACACCTAAGGGGGGGCGGACAGGAAGACTGTAAAGATCACTTCCTGTTTGGCCTGGGAGCATCCTTACAGGACCAGCACTGGGTCCTTTTGTTTAGCGTTGGCGCCCCCTGGTGGCATTGGAACTCAACTACCACGAGCTGTAGAGGTGAAGGAATGAAGCTTGGGAAGGGTTAGAGGGCAGAAGGAAGAGGGTGATGGTGATGGAGGAGGAGGAGGAGGAGGAGGGGAGGGGGTAGGGCGCACACAGGCGGGGGTGTGTGGCAGGGACCTCCCACCTTAAGCAGCATGTGCTTCTCGCTGGGCGTCAGGTACATCTTGTTCTCGTAGTAATCCACGCAGATGTTCACGATGTCGGCCAGCAGCTCCTCGTACCCTGGGATCACCTCCAGTTGCTGGTGGAGACACTGAACAACAGCGCCACCTTCCGGTTAGACTGAGCCTGCATCCTCCAGCAGCCGCCCAAGTCCGTGGCTGTGTCCATGTGTGTCCAACACACATACATACACACACACACACACATACACACACAGCTGTGTCCCCAGGGAAGGGGAGCCTGCAAGCCAGCCTGTACCACCTGCCCCCTCCCCCCGCACGGAGCCGCTGCACACTCATCCCTGGTTGCAACAGAGGGCGTAGGAGGCAGCCAAGTGCTACAGCACTCGGTCTGCTTGGAGAATGCAGACATTCTCTTTATCTCCTGTATGTCTCCTAGGACCAGGCCGAGGGAGGCCCACTGCAGGGAGGAGAGGCAGCCCAGGGTCCCCGTTCCTGCCACACATACCCCGTAGGACTAAGGCACCCTCAGGCTCCTGTGGGGCAGGGATCTGGACACAAAGAGCCCCAGAATTGGCAGGACGCTACCCCCTGTTGGGCTGGGGGGACTTGCAGGTAGACTTGATGGTGCCTGCTCTAGTTGAAGGTGGACCTAGCCTGGCTGGGGGAAACGGGACAGGGCCGGCCGTGCGGGTGTGGCCTGGAAAAGGGGTGACGGATCACACCCCAGTTTCCTAAACATGTAGGGCTCAAATGCTAAGGCCATGTGGCCCAGCCTGTCACATATAAGGGAGATTCTCAAGCCAACAGAGATGGGGGAAACTGAGGCCCAGACTTTGCCTGAGGTGTCCTGCACTCAAACTCTACAGGGTCTGAGCAGGGTGCAAGAGGTCTCTTCTAGGGGACCTAGGCCAAGAGGGAGGGAGAGAGGGAGGGAGGGAGGGAGGGAGGGAGGGACGGAGGCTGCAGCTCTCCTGTCTCTCTGATGGGCAGAGGAGATGATGGAGCCGGTCGGCTCGCGCTGCGGTGTGTGGCAGGGGCTCAGGCCCGGCCGGCTCCCTCACCTGTGTGATCCGGTTGTGGTTGGCCAGGAACATGGAGAGGTTCTGTGATTCCTGGATGGACTGGGGGTCGGCCATCTTCCTGAGGAACTGGGCTGCCCTGAAATGCACACGGGGCGGGTTGGGGGGGACTCAGAGGCCAGCACCAAGGCTCCATCAGACTGAGCCATGCTGGGCTTTGGTCCGAACCCGGCCTGGGTGACCCTTCCCGAGGCTGTGCGTGAGGGCCAGCAGGCTCCCTCAGTGCAAGGGGCACGCCCTGATGCTCTGGGGGCTGTTCCCGGGGTTGTTCACCCCCTCGGGACAGGCGCCTGAAACACAGTCAGCAATGCGAGGAAAGTTCTGGAAGCTCAGAATGTCCTAGCAGGACCCACAGATGCTCTTGTAGGGAAGGAGGTACCCGACCTCTGGCAGGGGGAGGTGGGGAGGGGCTGACCTCTGGCAGGGGGTGGTGGGGAGGGGCTGACCTCTGGCAGGTGGAGGTGGGGAGGGGCTCACTTCTTGTAGGGGGAAGGGCTGACCTCTGGCAGGGGGAGGTGGGAAGGGGCTGATCTCTGGCAGGGGGAGGTGGAGAGGGGCTGACCTCTTGTAGGCCGAGTGGTCGTTCTTGACGCTGCACTTCATGTTCTTGAGCTCGTCCAGGACGGCGAACATGTTGATGAACTTGCCCAGGGTCAGGAGGTAGGCCTCGGACACGAAGTCCTTCCTGCGCTCGGCGTGGCACAGCCGCTTCACCTCGCTGCAGAACCGCTCGATGGCCTTGCGCTGCGGGGGGGAGGGCGGTGCGTGAGGCAGGGAGGGATCTGGGGGGCAGAGCTGCTGGGCGGAGCATGGGGGGGCTGGGGGGCGCCTGCAGGGTAACCCCCGGCAGTTCATCCATGCACCGCTCATCACACACTGGCTAAGAGGCCCTGTGCGTGTCCTCGGTCCTCTCTCCAGCACCGGGGACCGGGCTGGGCTGGGGACAGAGAGGAAGAGGGGTTCCCCTTGACACTGGACTGGAGCACAGAACCCACCACCTGGCCTTCGGAACGTGCGCTCCGATGAGAGAAGGCAGGAAGGCATGCGCTCCCGGCCCCCAAGGGCCAGGCCTGCGCGGGGGACACAGGCCTCCCCCAAATGGCTGGCTGCACCCAGGTCCGGCCCCAGGGTGGCCACGCGCGCTCGGCCCGCGTACCTGAAAGTACATGAACTTCATGAGCTTCGTGACCTCCGGCTCCAGCACCTCCACCGTCTTCTCGTAGATCTCCACGCGGTTGGGCTGCTCATTGCATTTCACCTGAGGGCCGGCAGGGGGCACGCGTGAGCCTGGCTCCCTAAGAGCCCTGGCTCACACCTGAACCTGGGTGCTTTTTCATGGGTACCTCTCTCTGGGTGCTGACTGCAGACCAACTATCTATCCGTCCGTCCGTCCGTCCTTCTGTCCTTCCTTCCTTCCTTCTTTTTCCTTCTCTCCCTCCCTCTTACCTTTCTCTCTTTTCCTCCTCCCTCTCTCTCTCCCTTCTTCCTCTCTCTCCCTGAGAAAGAGTCTCTCTGTGCATCCCAGGATGTCCTAGATGCTTGTGCCTCAATTCTTGAGTGCTGGGATTACAGACATATGCTCCAGGACTAATCTTGATGGTAGTTTAGAAATTCTCCAAATGGCTGCAAGTGCTAAGTATCTATCGCTGGATGATGCCACCGACAATCACGTGATCCCACAGAACGAGACCGATCTTTGTGAATTGCCATGAAAAGATGGCAGCCATCCAGCCATCAACTAATGGGCAAAAAAAAAAAATTGAAAAGTCATAGAACAGGGCTGGGAAGGTGGCTCAGTGGTAGAGTGCTTGCCTAGCAGGCATGAAGCCTTGAGTTCGAATCCTCCGTACCACATACACAGAAAAAGCTGGAAGTGGTGCTGTGGCTCAAGTGGTAAAGCATTGGACTTGAGCAAAAAGAAGCTTAGGGACAGTGCCCCAGGACTGGCCAAGAACAAAAAAAATTTAGTAAGTAAATTGCGCTTGGGATGGAACTGCGGCTTGTACTCTTGTTGCTGAGACCACACCCACCCACCTGGACCTCATCTGTGTAGAGCAAAACCCAATCCTCTGTGCATGTGTTCCCAGAAAACAGAGGCTTAGAAAATCCAACAGGATGCAAAACAAACTTAATCGAAGTTATCCCTCAGGACCAGGATTAGTCAGTTTCTGCCGATTCTCTACACCTGCACTTTGTTGTTTCTGTAATAACAAGACCCATTAAGTCTACCTCGATATCAGTGATGGTAATAAAAAAAATATGTGTCATGTTTCCACCTGAAGAAAAGTCCCTAACTTAAAAAAAAAGAAGGGGGTAGAGGACAGAATGACAGAAAAGAAACAACATGCTTCTGCAGATGGTAACAATTCACAAGAAGATATTCCCAGAGGTGGAAAGTCGGGGGGGGGGTGCAGCCGGGCAGGAGGGAAAGCTAGCCTTCGCCTATGGCTCTGGAGGGCAGAGATCTTGTTCTTTTTTTTTTGGGTCCGGT